TCAGCGCGCTTCTTCCCTCGAGCTGAGGCTCTCGGCGAGGAGGCGGTTGCTGCAGACCAGCGTCCGGGCAGCCCCCGAGGGGTCGCCCCGGGCGGCCAGCAGCAGGAACGCGTCCGGCTCGCTGCCGACGCCCAAGACGTTGGCCGGCACCTCGCGTGGGCCCTGGAAACGACCCGGATGGGAGGCGGCCACGGGGGTCCGAACAGGTCCCAGACATGGTCGCGTCGGAAAAGAAAAAGTCAGGACGGGAGGTTTTTGGCCGTTGTCGGCCTCTGGGGGTCCTCGCTGGGCCTCGGGAGCGTCAAGAAACGACTCAGGATGAAAAATCGGTCCCCGGGGGGTCCAGACCTCTGGAATCGACGGTTTGAAAAAAGCAGGACGTCGCATGTCGGGGCCTTAACAGGCCGGAACCCCGGAGAAGCGGTCCGGCGGGGGGATGAAGCCAAATCCGCTCAGAATCGGTCCCCAGACCCCTCCGGGCCGGATCCACAATTTTCCCCCCAGGTCTGCTTCTCACGGTCCCAGGGCCCAAGAACGGCCACCGGAGGCCGACGAAGACCGAAAACGCTTCGGAGCCCAGAGCCTCGAAACTGCCCGCCCTTTCTCTGCTGGCCAGAACCAGCGCTGGACCACCTCAGACCCCCGGACGGCTCCAAGACCCAGAGGGTGGCTGCGAACTGCGCAGCTGGCGCCGCAATCATGGGCTCCTGGGAGGCACAGCGAAGCAGGGAAGTACGCAAGACCTGGCAGATGCCTGGGTGGCTGCGAACTGCGCAGCTGTCGCCACTATCGTGTGTTCCTGGGCGGCACGGCGGAGTAGCGGAGTACGCGAGACCTGGCAGATGCCTGGGTGGCTGCGAGCTGCGCGACTGTCGTCACTATCGTGTGCTCCTAGGAGACACGGCGGAGTAGCGGAGTACGCGAGACCTGGCAGATGCCTGGGTGGCTGCGAGCTGCGCGACTGTCGCCACTATCGTGTGCTCCTAGGAGACACGGCGGAGTAGCGGAGTACGCGAGACCTGGAAGCTCCCTGGGTGGCTGCGAACTGTGCTACTGTCGCCATTCTCGTGGGCTCCTGGGAAGCACGGCGGAGTAGCGGAGTACGCGAGACCTCGCAGCTCCCTGTGTGGCTGCGAACTGCGCAAATGGCGCCACTTTCGTGAGATCCTGGGAGGCACGGCGGAGTAGCAGAGTACGCGAGACCTGGCAGCTTCCCAGCTGGCTGCGAACTGCGCAACTGGCGCCCGCCACTTTCGTGAGTTCCTGGGAGGCACGGCAGAGTACCGGAGTACACGAGACCTCGCAGCGCCCTGGGTGGCTGCAAACTGCGCGACTGGCGCCCGCCACTTTCGTGGGTTCCTGGGAGGCGCGGCGGAGTAGCGGAGTACGCGAGACCTGGCAGCTCTCTGAATGGCTGCGAAGTGCACAACTGGCGCCACTTTCGTGGGCTCCTGGGAGACACGGCGGAGTACCGGAGTACGCGAGACCTGGCAGATGCCTGGGTGACTGCGAGCTGCGCGACTGTCGCCACTATCGTGTGCTCCTAGGAGGCACGGCGGAGTACCCGCGGACGCGGGACATCGCTACCCCCTGGGAGGCTGCGAACTGCGCAATTGGCGCCACTTTCGTGGGCTCCTGGGTGGCACGGTGGAGTACCAGAGTACGCAAGACCTCGCAGCTCCCCGGGTGGCTGCGAACAGTGCAACTGGCGCAACTTTCGTGGGCTCCTGTGAAGGGCGGAGTAGCGGAGTACGCGAGACCTCGCAGCTCCCTGGGTGGCTGCGAACTGTGCTACTGCCGCCATTTTCGTGGGCTCCTGGGAGACACGGCAGAGTAGCAGAGTACGCGAGACCTCGCTGCTCCCTGGGTGGCTGCGAACTGCGCAACTTTCATGGGCTGCTTGGAAGCACGGCGGAGTAGCGGAGTACGCGAGACCTCGCAGCTCCCTGTGTGGCTGCGAACTGCGCCACTTTCGTGAGATCCTGGGAGGCACGGCGGAGTAGCGGAGTACGCGAGACCGCGCTGCTCCCTGGGAGGCTGCAAACTGCGCAACTGGCGCCACGTTCGTGGGCTCCTGGGAGGCACGGCGGAGTACCAGAAAACGCGAGACCACGCAGCTCTCTGGGCGGCTGCGAACTGCGCAACTGGCGCCACGATCGTGTGCTCCTGGGAGACACGGCGGAGTACCAGAGTACGCGAGACCTGGCAGCTCCCTGGGTGGCTGCGAGCTGCGCGACTGGCGCCACTTTCGTGGGTTCCTGGGAGGCACGGCGGAGTAGCGAAGTACGCGAGACCTCGCTGCTCCCTGGGTGGCTGCGAACTGCGCAACTGGCGCCACTTTCGTGGGCTGCTGGGAGGCACGGCGGAGTACCGGAGTACGCGAGACCTGGCAGCTCACTGGGTGGCTGCGAAATGCGCCACTTTCGTGAGGTCCTGGGCGGCACGGCGGAGTAGCAGAGTACGCGAGACCTCGCTGCTCCTTAGGAGGCTGCGAACTGCG